AAAATTTTACAGAGGCGGGGAGTGGGCAGCAATGGGCGGGAGGGCGGGATTAAATAATGATCCACTATGGGCAGAACTGAGCGGAATTCACCTCCAGCAAAAATGCAGGTGACTCTTGCTGAAAGTTATACCAGTAAAACCCCTCCTTATGCTGGTATAAAGGGGATGAGCTGGAATAAGTTAGGCTGCAGAAGGCCCTTTTGTACCAGCGTAACTGCATTCACACTGGGAACATTTCAGTGCCTTCGCTATCTATACCAGTATAGTTAAGTGGCAAAACACCTAATTCACCTCCAGCAAAAATGCAGGTGACTCTTGCTGAAAGTTATACCAGTAAAACCCCTCCTTATGCTGGTATAAAGGGGATGAGCTGGAATAAGTTAGGCTGCAGAAGGCCCTTTTGTACCAGCGTAACTGCATTCACACTGGGAACATTTCAGTGCCTTCGCTATCTATACCAGTATAGTTAAGTGGCAAAACACCTAAGTGGCGATAAACCCTCATTCTTGATGTGGATGCGGTTCATTAAGATGACTGTGAGTGGCAAACAAAAGATGCAAGTGCTAAAATCTCTTGGGGCATGTCTACACTTGCCCTTCAAAGCACAAAAAGTCTGTTTTTGTTTTCTTTTGGTTTTGTTTTTTGCACAAAAACCATGGTAGCCTCTGTACCTGGCAATGGCTTTTTGTGGTCATTCAGAAGTTTCACCACAAAAGGAAAACGATCTCGACGAGAAGCGTACAGCTCTGAGCGGTGATACTTTCGTGGTGGTGGTGATCTTCCTGTTTACGTGCCTTTTAGCCTCGGGAGGATATCCCATAATGCCTAGGTGACCACTCTGGCCAGCAGCTCCGCTGCTCTGATGCCAGGTAAACAGACATCTGCCCCTCTCCCTGTAAAGCCCCAGGAATTTTGAAATTCCTCTTCCTGTTTGCTTGGCAAGAGTCTCTGGCCAAGCGCCAATACCTGTTCCACAGAGCAATTGACCCCCTGCTGGTAGCAATGCTGAGCTACTGGAGCTGATCAGCGTTTGGGGAGGACGGGGCTGTGCAAGGACCCAGGATGCACCGTGATCACCTGCCCCCTTTTCCCACAAGCCCTATTATCAAAAGGGAGAGAGCTGCACTGTGGGAGATCCACCCTCATCTGTGATGGAAGTGCTGCCAATGTGAACGCTCTCTGGGTATGTCTACACTAGTCCCCTAGTTCGAACTATGGTGGCTAATGTAGGCATGCGAAGTTGCAAATGAAGCCTGGGATTTAAATATCCCGGGCTTTATTTGCATCTTCCTGTCTACCATTTTTAAATTCCCTGTGGGTGCAGGGACAGGGTTCTGGGGCAGGGTGCTGGGGCAGGTGACAGGGTGCTTGTGGGTGCTGGAACAGGGTACTTGTGGAGGGTCTGGTTGGCGTGTGGGGGAGGGGACAGGGCCCAATACCTGGGGCTCCTGCAGCTGCACGCCAAGGCCCAGGAAGTGCACAGGCTGCTCCCCCGTCCCCAAACAGCAGCGCGGAACCTGAAACGCTGGTCTGTCGCATGCCTGATGCCTTCCTGCGCAGGGGGAAGAGGGAGTCCCAGACTGCACCAGCCCCAACCATTGGGGCAGTGCACGCCTTGCTTCTCCGCTCCCCATGGCAGTGCGTGCCGCCCAAGAAGCTGGAGCTGGCACACTGGGGCCTTTATTCCCCTGCTGCCTTCCTGGGATATGGGAGGGGAAGGCCCGAACTGCACCAGCCCCAACCGCTTGGGCAGCGCGCGCCTTGCTCCTCCGCTCCCCACGGCAGCACACACCACCCGAGCAGCCAGAGCCGGCGCAGTCCCAGCTCCCCGCCCCCTCCCCCAGGCACAGAAAGGCAGCAGGGGAACAAAGTCTCTAGTGTGCGATGGACTGGCATTTTAGGTACCACGCCGGCTGTTGGGGCAGGGGGAAGAGCAGCCTGTGCACTTTCGGGACCTGGTGCACAGCTGCATCAGCATGGCCTGCGTCTTGGGAGTGGGAGCACCAAGGAAGGGGCCCCAAAGCCTCGCGATCGACTGGTCAAGCCTCCAGGATCGACCGGTCGATCGCGATCGACGGATTGGTGACCATGGGCTTAGGCAATTGCCTTGCTGAGAAATCCAAGGTGCTTGGGGCAGTGCACGCCTTGCTTCTCCGCTCCCCATGGCAGTGCGTGCCGCCCAAGAAGCTGGAGCTGGCACACTGGGGCCTTTATTCCCCTGCTGCCTTCCTGGGATATGGGAGGGGAAGGCCCGAACTGCACCAGCCCCAACCGCTTGGGCAGCGCGCGCCTTGCTCCTCCGCTCCCCACGGCAGCACACACCACCCGAGCAGCCAGAGCCGGCGCAGTCCCAGCTCCCCGCCCCCTCCCCCAGGCACAGAAAGGCAGCAGGGGAACAAAGTCTCTAGTGTGCGATGGACTGGCATTTTAGGTACCACGCCGGCTGTTGGGGCAGGGGGAAGAGCAGCCTGTGCACTTTCGGGACCTGGTGCACAGCTGCATCAGCATGGCCTGCGTCTTGGGAGTGGGAGCACCAAGGAAGGGGCCCCAAAGCCTCGCGATCGACTGGTCAAGCCTCCAGGATCGACCGGTCGATCGCGATCGACGGATTGGTGACCATGGGCTTAGGCAATTGCCTTGCTGAGAAATCCAAGGTGCTCAAGCATAAGCATCACACCCTTACATCAAAGAAACAAACAGCCAGTTCTTGCTTCCAATTCTATTCTCACCCCTTCCCCATTGTCTTACCGAGAATCGATGTGGCAGTTTCGCGCTGGTTATCGTCCCATGACACTTGCATTGGCAGCACTGGCAGCAGTGGGTGGTTTCTGAAATAAATCACAAGTTACTAACCCAATTCAGTTGCCTTGGTAGAAACTACCTCAAAATGTGAATTTTGCCCAGAACAACTGCAAAGCCACAAAGACCAGACATCCCACCCTGCATCTCTGGGACAGAGGCAGCGTCACAAGAGTTACTTGATATGCCTTTGTGTTGCTTTATGCTGCCCTAAAACTGCACCAAGTGGTGAGACGATCCAGTGAAAAGCAGGCCCAGTGAAAGGGATTTGCAATGGTGCATTCGAGTTTAGACTTGCCCCCTGCTTTGTTTCATCATTAGTTTATGATGCTAAAATTAAAGGATTGACTTTCTTTGAAGCACTTGATATTATACTGCATGACACACAACACTGCCTTGCTTCTCACTCTCATCATAATATGAGGAAACCTAGCCGGCTGCAATTCTCTCTGACTGGATCAGCTATATTATGAGCCAGTCTATACACAAACTGCAACTGTACTTAACCCTGTCTGAATCCATCTCTGGGTGTGGACATGTTTCTATCTCGCTTAGGGTGCCCTGCACTTAAGTAGCCGAGGGCCTTCCTTGTAAAACTGACAGCAATGGTGACTGCCTTGTGGTCTGTTCCTGGAGCGTCCAATACTCCAAACTGCGAGGGAACTGAGTTTTAACCTTTTTTAAAACTTTATTCAACTGGGCTACGTCTACACTGGCATGATTTTCCGAAAATGCTTTTAACGGAAAAGTTTTCTGTTAAAAGCATTTTTGGAAAAATCGTGTCCAGATTGGCAGGATGCTTTTCTGCAAAAGCACTTTTTGCAGAAAAGCGTCCGTGGCCAATCTAGACACAGTTTTCCACAAAAAAGCCCCGAGCGCCATTTTCGCCATCGGGGCTTTTTTGTGGAAAACAGTACTATGCTGTCTACACTGGCCCTTTTGCGCAAAAGTCTTTCGGAAAAAGACTTTTGCCTGAACGGGAGCAGCATAGTATTTCCAGAAAAGCACTGATAATTTTACATGAGATCGTCAGTGCTTTTCTGGAAATTCAAGCGACCAGTGTAGACAGCTGGCAAGTTTTTCCGCAAAAGCAGATGATTTTGCGGAAAAACTTGCCGGTCTAGACATAGCCCTGGTGTTTCAGGCTGATTTGTTTCAGGGTTGCAGTTTCTTCTTCAGAGGTTTTCGGGTGGAGTGAGCGTCAACATTGTCAGTCCAGCAGGCTCTTCTGAAGAGCATGGAGTGGCAGCGTTGCCTAATGAATTAACTCCTTTCAGATAGTGGCCTGTTCTGATTACGTGAAATCAAACAGGGAGACACATGATTGAAAATAACGGAAACTGTCAACTAAATTGATATTTTGATTCCTTTTTTGTTTGTACAAAGGCTTTATTTACACACAAGGCCTGATTTTCTGCTGGGCCTCTTTTTGCAGGTGAGGTTTTCTCCCTCAGACACATGTGGCTGTGTTGTTTCAGTAGAGTTCTTTGCAGAGTTCTGCGTGGATACAAAATGGGCTGCTTGAATTCTAGGCCATGGTTTGAATCTCAAGGTGCTTCACAAACACTAATGAATTAAACTTCCTAACTCCTTCCAACTGCAGTGGGTAAGAGAGTCCAGCCGTCCTGACCTATGGTGTCCTGCACTCTAGCCATTGGAAACACTGGAGCTTTTGTCTTGGCATTACCCTTCTGTACCACTGACTGTTATCCTGTAAATCCTATACCCTGCTCGAGTTACTGGTTCATTCATCCGTCAGTGTATTATTCACCAGCCACCTGGGGTGCAGGTGGGGAATGATGGATGAGTGGAGCAATATTTTTTCCGATGGGAATTGTCTCCGGTTGCTGTGAAGGGCAAAGAGGGGCCCCTTAGTGGATCCATCTTGCGGTCTGGTTCCATTCCCATTCTGTGTGGGGCAAAGGCTTGGCTCCCACATGCTTTGGGAAGAAAAGGCCTGGTTTTCCCAGAGGTGCAGCCTCCGTTCCAGCGGAAGCACGGACCGCCGCTCCCCAGATGGGGGGCAGGTGACGAGCTGGGCCTTTGGGGGATGCGGGTGCTGACTCTGGGCCCAACACTGCAGCAGTGGAAGCT